AGGTTCACATCGTCTCATTGCCTCGCCTCCAATGCTGGACTGACAGCGCCCACCTCACCCACGCTGGCTAATTTTTTGTATTTTTAGTAGATACAGGGTTTTACCGTGTACGCCACGGAGGTCTTGATCTCCTGGAGTCTGGATCGGCCCACCTCGGCCGCTCCCAAATGCTGGAATTACCGGCATGAGCCACCCGTGCTGGCCACAGAGGGGAGCTAGATTTTTAAATAGAATGAAAGATTAAGCCTTGGATTATTTGATATATCATATATAAAGAGAGTGGCCGGGTGCAGTGGCCATGCTGTAATTCCAGCACCTGTGGGAGCTTCGAGGGGGGTTATCACCTTGAAGTCAAGATTGAGACCGGCTCTAACCACACGGAGAAACTATCTCCACTAAAAAAAGAAAAATAGCCAGACGTTGGTGGCAGCATGCCTGTAATCCCAGCTACCGCGGGAGGCCTGAGGCAGGAGAATCGCTTGAACTTGGAGGCACAGGTTACAGTGAGCCGAGATCACACCATTGCACTCCAGCCTGGGCAACAAGAGTGAAGCTCCATCTCAAAAAAAAAAAAAAAAAAAAAAAAAAAGTATCTCTGCCAATTAACTATTAGGTACTAAGTATATTTCACAATGTAAGTAAATCTTATATTGAAGGAATAAAGTCTGCATAATAAGAGCTCAGTAAATAACAACTTCTATGAGCAACAGGACAATACTATGTCCCTGGCATTTGGACTTAGACAAAAACCTTTGTTGAATCACAGCCTGTCCAGGTATGCACTGTGTGACCCTGAGCAGGTCATGTCATCTCTCTGACACCGTTTCCTAGTATGTTGGGTGGTGAAAACTCACATTACAGAGGCCTGTGGGGGTACAGGAGTCAATCTGTGCAAAGCGCTCAGCATGTGCTGAGTGCTCAGCAAGTTACAGCCACTGGAGTTAAAATCACTACCATAATGGTGAAGAGCCCTGGCAAACGCTGCAGTCTCCATTCTTCCCACTGAGAAATCCGAAGGGCTGATCAGCTCCCCTGTCTTTCCCAAACTAGGATCCCAGGAATTAGAGATGGTGGTGCTTAGGTAAGTACACAGCAGCATCTAGTGGACTAGAAGGAGAATTGATGAAGTGTCACAATAACACTGGGAAGAGGAAGTTTTAAGGCTAGGGAAAAGGTTGGCAGAGAAGTCAAGAAGGAGGCCTGCACGTGCTGGGTGTCCCCAGTGGGGAGATCAGAGGAGGTCCCTTAACAGTTATCAGGACCTCAAGCTCCCATGTGCTAGCTGAGGGCGTCCTTCTCCCTCTCCCAGGCCTCCCTGGTTGCTGGGTCTCTGGATCCTATGGGCTCAGGGGCCCTTCTTTTTCAAGTTCTGCTTCACGTGTCTGTGTCCAGCTGAGGGCACTGACCCCATTGCCCCAGTCCCCAGGGCTGATGCCAGGACAGTAGAAAGCTCTGTGCTGGGGCACAGCCAAGGTGTCCCCCATGGCTCTGGTCCACACATTGGCAGCTGGGCCTTGTGTCCCTCTGACACCAGATCCTAGGGTTTCTGGCTCTGCCACCTCTGCTGTGATGCTCCATTCCAACCATGTGGCTCAGCAGGGAGGGGCACTACACACTGTCCCTTCTCCCTTTTCCATACTCCTTCTGCATTCCTACACGCCCTGCACAGGAGCCCTCTACCCTCCTCCTTCTGTTAGGAGAATTCAGAAGATATCAACTTTCTCCTCTTTTCCTTTCTGTAGTGGAGGTCCCGGCAGGATCCCCTCATGAGCTGTGAGGGTTAAATGGGAGAAGGTTGGCCGGGCGCGGTGGCTCAAGCCTGTAATCCCAGCACTTTGGGAGGCCGAGTCGGGCGGATCATGAGGTCAGGAGATAGAGACCATCCTGGCTAACACGGTGAAACCCCGTCTCTACTAAAAAATACAAAAAACTAGCCGGGCGAGGTGGCAGGCGCCTGTAGTCCCAGCTACACGGGAGGCTGAGGCGGGAGAATGGCGTAAACCTGGGAGGCGGAGCTTGCAGTGAGCTGAGATCCGGCCACTGCACTCCAGCCCGGGCGACAGAGCAAGACTCTGTCTCAAAAATAAATAAATAAATAAATAAATGGGAGAAGGTGTACTGAGCTTGAAGCACAGGCAGGTCCCACAACAAATGCTCACAAAATGGAAGCCTCTGCCACCATCTGCCTCATTCCCATCAACCTAAGTAGCAAAGAGCCACCCCTGGCCTCCCAGTACCTGGCCTGTGTGGGGACATGTTGGGGCCTTCTGACCACGGAGACAACAAAGGAGAAAAAAATCATGTCCCCTCAGTTATGGGCCAAAGGGGAGCCCCCGGCCCAGATGCCCAGACACACCTCTCCTGACCAGTCCAGGAGGAGGGTGTGAAGCAGGGGCCAGGTTCACCCTGGGCTCCCATAGAAGATAGAGAGGCTGCAAGGCCCCCGGCAGCAGTGAGCAGAGAGAAGCTCTGGGAGGGAGGGAAGGGGTGCTGGGTCCTGGGGGCTCCCAGGCTTGACCTGTACAGGGCCATCTGCTGCTCAAGTCTGAGGCAATGTGGGACTGAAACAGCCCAGGCCTAGGTGAGACCCGGAGTGTGCCTACTTGTGCACTATGGGAGGGAAAGACTGTAGTCCTGGGATGCCCTAGGAATACTTGACCCTGCCCTACCCAGACCTCAGGCAGCAGAAAAAAGCCCTCATGAAGAAGATAAGGGACAGAGGATACCCGGAGTTCTGTGTGATCAGTAAAGGTGGCCTGATGACAGCCATGACTTCAAACACAATTTGAAGCTGGATCCAAGGCTGGAGAGCAGGGGGAGGATGGGCATGCTGGGTGATGGGCATGGCAAAGGCACAGGAGTGATGGTGGCACACAACTGTGGCTGACGCACATGGGCCCCAGTTGAGGAACCCTGAATGCAGGTGTCTGCATCAACAGTCAACTCAGAGACCCCATTTTCCATGCCAACTGGCCTGCCCACCACCCAGAAAGGCCCTGTACACTGTGCCATGTGGCTGGCCCCGCACTGGGCCAGGCCTCCATGAGGATAAGGAAACATGGGAGGCAGGAGGTCGGGGTCCTGCCCTGGGGAGGGAGAAGAATAGAACACAGGCAGTGGTCATTGACCAGAAGAGATGGAATGAGCAGAGGATGCTACCAGGCAGTGAGTATAAGGAATCATATAGTTCAAGGTATTCATCTGACATATACCAGAAACTCACACAAAATAAGAAAATACACAAAACCACATAATCCAACAAAACTTTGGGCAAAGAACCGATAGACATTTCTGAAAAGAAGGCAGGAAATGAACAGGTAAAAAAAAAAAAGTTTGTCCACATCACTAATTATCACAAAAATGTAAATCAAAGTCACACTAAGATAGTGTCCCCATCCACATAAAATGAATGTTGTCAAAAACAAAAACAGAATTCTTAACAGGCAATCACCAGCATGGACCTGCAGACAGAGAACCTCTTAGACACTACAGTTGGGAATGGAAATTGGTGTACACACTACGAGCAATAGTTGGCAGTTCCTCCTCCAACTAAAAATATAACCACTATATCATCCAGCAATCTCAGCACTGGGAAATACAAAGTACATGGATGTATTATGCTCCCTGATTACAAATGACATAGAAGAGCTACAGAGATCCAAACAATATGGTTTTGGCATTAACATAAAAATACAGAACAGACACAATGAGGGAACCAAATACCAAACCCAAATTCATATATGATGGACGCATTTGAAAAAAATATACCCAGGGGATGGGAGACTCTGGGCTGCCTTCGGTCAGGCTGCAGAAGTGTCCTGGGGGGACCTGAAGCTGCCTCTCACCTGCGCTCTGGATGGTTTCTACTCCATGAGGATTTCCAGAGTTTCCCCTCAGCCACCGTCAGAGTAGGGCTTCTATGGGGCTGCGACCATCTGTCCCAGTCTTTCCTGTCTCCATGACACACCGTGTGACCTACGTATACTGCAATATGTAGCTGCGCGTACTGAAAGCGTACAGTTAAGATGACCTACAACCGATGCTACTCTAAGTCTTCCAGAGATTTTTCAGATATCTTCAGACCAAAACAAACTAGTGACATTCCATGGTGTTGCAAACTGGCACCAGCAACTGCACAGAAACAGCTCCCTATGCACCATCAGACACTCTCCAGACCCGCCCCTCGCTCACAAATGTAACAAACGAGCATGAACCCAGGTAGTCTTCACTCCTACGGGCTACATAACAACCTCTTATCGGTCAGGAAGCCTTTGATCTGGGCCAGGATGCTGACGCACAGGGGTTAATTGTGCCTCTAATGCTGAGTGTTGCTTCCCCTCACTGGGTTAACCCCTACCCTTGCACCAACAAGGGCCCCCAAGGAAACTGCTAACATCCAGGAGGCCACGTGGAATGTTTCAGCAACTTGGATGGCCTTGGCTGTCTCTAGTACCAGCCTTTCCCTCTGTGGGGCTCACTCCCTGACTCTTGCTTGTGCAGACCAATCTAAAGCGGCTGACATCTCCTGCTCCCTCAGCCTCCCGGGTCACCCTGATGGCATCATGCTGGCCATGGGCAGGTGCCTCCAATCAAGAACGAGGTACCCACAGGCTGAGTTCCCTGGTGTGGGGAACAATGCCTGGGGTCTCCAGACAGCCTACCCGAGGTAAAGAATCCAGCTCTGACACTTACAACTGAAAGACTGTGTGGCAGAAAAGGAGAGACTCTCTGGGCCTGTCTCCTCTTCTGGCTCACTGGATTGTTAGGAAAATTACTGAGACACTGGGCTTAAAGCTCTCAGCCTAGGGCCCAGAATGCCACAGGGAATCAAATCAGGGTGACCAAGGACTGAAGACTTCTCCTTGGCTGGGAATGGGGGATCAGGGTTGCAGACACAGGGGCACAAAACGATGCTTGTGTCATAAGAGAAGAAACTGGGGATCTGGTCCACCACAGGCTCCTCAACCTCAGTGTGAGGCCTTGCTGGGCCCTGAGCTCACCTCCCCATTGGGAGTCCATTATGACTGCAGTCCAGAGGGGTCAATGTCCTCGCTGATGCCAGAAAGAAGTCCTGGGAGATGCGGAGGGCATCCTGTAGTGGCAGGCGGTCTGGGTGGTCCACAGGTGTGTGCTTCAGCAGGTCCTGGGAAGGGATGAGGTGGTGATTTGGGAAGCCGTGTTTCTGGTGCTCAATGAGAAGTCCCTGGGGAGTGCTCAGTCCTCACCAAAAGATTTCAAAGGGCAGGTACTCACGGACTCACATTCATGCCTGCAAAATCTGAACTGAAAATTAGAATCGGAGCAGCAAGGTTGATTCTAAAAGGACCTGGGCTCGCTTTTCTCCCAGCTGCAGTCATTACTCTTTTCTCCTGGCAGAGGCAGCCAGGTGGACGCTCATCTCACCAAGCATTTGGAGAGACACCCCTCTACCCACCCTGCAGCTGCTCCAAGGATCCTGGAGACCAAAAGACAGGGGTTGGGGAAGCAGGACGTTCCTGCCTCCACCAAGAGAGCAATTGGCCAAATGTCAAGCTCAGAGGCTAAGCTCTATTGAGGCTCTGTCCCTGCTGGCATGGTCACCACGGACCAGGCAGGCATACTCAGGGCCCACGATCCCTCTGACTTTTCAAATGGGCTGTTCTCAGTGACTCTGGCACCCACCCACCTGAGACTCAGTCTTCCGAGAAACTCTTAAGCCCTCTCTGGTCCTTCCAGGGTCTTAACACTCATGTGTAAGACCAGCATACTCTGAGTGACTTACTTGTTCAGTGGGCTGGTACAGCAGAGCTGTTGGGGACAGCACAGAGAAAAAGGACAATGACATACAAAGAACCACTCAACACCTCAGAGACCAGCTTTGTCTCCCACCCGCCTTGCTTCCCACGTGAACACCTGCTTGCGGGAAGCCAAAGTGGGTCCACAGCAGCCTCCACCTGTGTTCTCACTCCCAGGGCAGACCAAGCAGCAACAACAAGTGACACACAGCCCTGGTGACCCTGTCTCCTCCCTACCCATGCCTACTCTCCCATCAGAACCGGCTTCTTCGACAGCTGCCCCAGTCCTGTCCAGGCCTTACCTGGCTCAGAGCAGATGATCCCCTGCACCTCCCAACCTGAATCACACGGCTACACCCAGCACATGCTACAGAGGCCCAGCACACTCTGGGTCACATCCAGAAACTCCACAATAGGGGAGGAGACATGCTGTTTCCCAGGAAGGGCAGCTCCCCAGGCCTGGTCATTCTCCGACTCCTCCAGTCAAAGGCCGGGCACAGCCAGCTGAGATCGCCATGCTTCACTCTGACCCACACGACTGGCCTTGCCTCCTCTATGGGAAGAGACCCCTCCACACAACCTCAAACCCAGACATAACAGGACAGGACAGGCTGGGCGCTAGGGAGGCCAGCCAGATCTCCACACAAAGGCTCCGCTCTTAAGGAGGAGGCAGTCTTAGGGGCAAAAGTTTCCTGAAGCAACTCAGGTCAGGCCTCATATACAAGAGCCCCAAAGAGGCTGCAAAAATACCAGCTCAGCCAGGCAAGAACTCAGGGCCACACCCTTCTGACACCCAGACACCAAGTGAGGATCGCTGGGATTCAGCAGGAACAGGTGGACGTGACAGCTGATGGACCAATACCTCCCAACACCTTTCCAGCAAGCAGCTATAAGTCGCCTCTCCCAACAAGTCACTCCACTTCAGTCCTGCACCTGGATGCCTCTGTGCATGGGGTCATGATCTTTGGCCTCCTGCCACAGGAGCGTTGAGAGGCAGGATGGTGGCCTGGAAAGAAGGATCTTAGACTGTATGTCCCATAGGACCAGGTTGTGAGAGATCCCACAGCCAACACTCATGACCCAGGCAACCCCCAAACCCAACAGCTCCCCAAAGCCCTCGATATAAATAGCCTATGCACTGCTAAGCAGACACTTCAGGGAACAATCTGATGGCTGTGAAGAAGATGCAGCCTCAACAGGGTTTCATAAGCCGTCTGCAAGCAAAGCCTTCTTTGCTTAGATGCCCCTTAAAAGCACTAGGGAAGCTCTTAAAAGATACAGGACTAGGCACAGTAGCTCATGTTTGTAAACTCAGCATTGTGGGAGGCAGACGCAGGAGAACAGCTTGAGGTTAGGACTTTAAGACCAACTGGGGTGGAATAGTGAGACCTCATCTCGCAAAACACAAAAATTAGCATGGCATGGTGGTGCAGGCCCATAGTCCCAGTCACTTGGGAGGCTGAGAAAAGAGGATTCCTTGATCCTGGGAGGTCAAGGCTGCAGTGCCCATGATCGTGCCACTGTGCTACAACCCAGGCAACAGTGCAAGATCCTGTCACAATCAATCAAACAAACGAAAAATCAAAGATGCCTGTCTCCTGCCCCATCAAATAAATCCAAATCTCTGCAGGGTGACACAGGGTATTAACATTTTTAAATTTTGCCTTTGCTGAAGTAAACATGTAGTAATGGCTGAAAACCACTGTATTATGTAAATCCACTTCCTATAACTTATTTGTAGCCCTTTCATACCTAGGAATTTCTACAGACCCTCTCTGTCGGCTTTGGAAGCCAGAATGGCCAGGGCCAGGTGTGAGGTGTCCTAGGACACTGAGGCTAGAGCACATCTCCCAGCTCGGGGGGACCCATGTCTGAGACTAAGGCACCCACCGGGGGCTCAGCCTATCTTAAGAGGGAAAATTACACCTCAGCACCCCAGAGACCCAAAAGAAAGCTCGAGTTCAGCAAATACCTGACAGTGGGCCCTGGAGTGGCAGCCACAGGGAAAACTGCCATTGCACTGTCAGCTCCCTCCAGCCCCCTTTCAGGTCCCAGCAGGAGGTGGTCTCCGACTGAGTTAAGATGTCTCAAAAAATGGTGGGTTGAACCTCAGAGGAGTTATTAATAGGTCTATAGTCACCTGAAGACTCCACCTGATCAGGGCCAAAAATGAGTCCTAGGAGGGCAGCCAGGAAGAAAGCAGGGTAGAGAGGAAACATAGGGAGAGGGGGCCCTGGGACCACGTCAGATATGGAGGGAACTAGGGGAACGAGGGCAGCCCTGATGATTGTGCTCCCCACGGCCCCTGCATGCCTGTGTCCCCTGAGAATTCAGGGTGAGGAGCTCACTCTTGCCCTTCACCTGTTCCTGGGCTCTGGCAGGCTGGCCTGCTTCCTGCCCCAGCCTCACCCACTCTCCGCACTCCTCACCACTGATGTGGGCAAGCTGATCTCTCTGGTTTGCTGGGCTCTCACTCTCTGCCCAATGGCACCAAGTTAACTTCTTTCCATGCTTTATTTTCTGTGTGATTAAAAAGGGAAGCAATTCTCACTAATACCATTTCTCAGAGAAGAAAACAGGCACAGGGATGCTGTATGACTTCCTCACGGTCACCAAGCTACAAGTGGGAGCTGGGCTTTGCATGGAGGTCTACCCATGATCCTAAAGTTGAGCCGTCCTCCAAGGAAAGGACAGCATCTGTAAAAGCTCAGTGAATGGGGCGGGAGTGTCCTCACTAGAGCCCAACCAGGCTGGTACCCTGATATCCAACCTCCAGCCTCCAGAACTGGGAGAAATACAATTCTGTTTTTGATGAGCTCCCCAGGCTATGGCTCTTTGCTGTAACATCCTGAAGTGGTCCTGAAGTGCTATTCCACCATCTGTGTCCTATTCCATCATTCACAAGGGAGTCACTAACCCCTCAGTGCTGTCTTTGTGGATGCTGCCCACCCAAGGCTGAGATGAGGCACAGGGTCTGGGTCTAAATAAAATAGGAAGGCACTGGAAGGTGCAACGTCAGAGAAGGAGGATGTCTGAATATCATTTAACCTCAACGTCTACTGGTGCAGCATGAAAGACGAGGCCCAGAACAAAAGTGGCTTTTCCTGAGATCACACTGTGGAGCCCAGGCCCACTGGAGTTGTATTCCATGCTACCTCTCACTCTTTCTTGCATTTCTTCCATCTCGAAGGATGTGCAATATCTACAGGGACCACCACACCATGAGTTTTTTAAGATTTATCTCAAACACACCTCAGGAGTTCCCTAGGAAGGAGATGGTAGCATAACCCCCATTGTGCATGCTGGGGAGGCCACAAAACACCACAGGATTTCTCTAGGGTCTCACAACTGCTAAGATAAAGGCTGTCTGACCCAGCACTGGCTCCTCAGAACTGGGACCCTGGTTACATCCAGGTCTTCCCAAGGTGCTGAAGGGGCACACTTTGGCATAATGGTGAAAGGTAAGGAGTTGACGGGGGAGGGTGAGTGGCCAGAAGCCCAGAGGGGCCTTTGAGTAGGTCTTATGGAAAGGAGGAGCTTACAGGATGGAACCTACAAGATGTGACCTCACTTCCTTGCTAACAGATCCCCAGTAGAACTTAGAATTCTGGTAACTAGGCACCCATATTTCCAGTTCATTTGGTGGGCGACACTCCGGAGAACAACATGTTCTCCTGCTGTGTCCCGACGTGCTGCCGACCTCCTTGTCGCAGAAGAGGCCAAAATGAGAGTCTTTCTCGAGAATATAGACATTGGTTCAACCCTCACCCTCGACGCCTCTGGCCCTTTGCCAGAAGGCACCCACAGGTAACACAGGGCCCAGGGCAGGCCCGTCCAGGCCAGGCCTCAGCTGTGCCCATCAGGGGAGCACCGAGTCCCTCCCCATGTGTTTGGGGGAAACAGGAGAAGAGGGGCCCTCCCTGGACAGGAGCAGGTAGGTTGTCAGGTGTTTGGAGCCTGGTAGGTATGTCAGGTTCACAGTCCAGACCATGCCTGGCAGGATGGGAAGGTGAGTGTCGAGGACACACTTTGTCTGCTCAGATCTGAATCCCAAGACCTCGAGTTTCATCTGCCGGAGACCTCAACCTTCTCTGGCTGGAGGTCTACGCAGATGCTCCTATGTGCCAAAACTTGTTGGGGTGGGGGGGCCAGGAAGGAGTTGTATTGTGGGTGTCCCACTGTGGGGTCAGCCAGGCAGGCCACCGACACCTCTTGGCCCGGCTCTCGGGCACTCTCTTTGCAGAACTCCACACAGCAGATCAAACAGGAGCTGTTGGATGGATTCCATTTCTCCATCTTCCTCAAAGACGGGCAGGTGCCCCATGCCAACAACCACGGCCAGTGCTGGTCTGGGGTGAGACAGGGCACA